CGGTCAAGTGACTTTCCCTCCCTTGCCTTCCAATTTCCTCATGTGTGAAATGCAGATTAAAAGTAATACCTGCCTCAGGGCACCTGGCTGACTCTGTCAGTGGAGCATGCAATTCTTGATCTCAGGGTGGTGAGTTCAAATCCCGCGTTGGGTGTGAAACCTGCTTTAAAAAATAAAAATAAAAATAGTACCTGCCTCAAAGAGTTGGTGCCGTGAGGTTTAAATAAGTGAATATATGTATTAGAATCGTGCCTGGCACGTGTTATTAAATGTTAGCTATTATTTTTCAGACATTCTAGAACCAAAGGGCATGGACACTAAGTCCAGTGGTTGCTGAAGCCCTTTGGCATTCCCTCAGATATTTACTGAGCACTTAATAGGTGCCGAGCGCTGTTCCGTGCTGAAGATCTAGAAAGTGAACGAACACACACACACACACACACACACACACACACACGTGTACACCCCGGCTTTCATGGAGCCTATGAATATATAGTATGTTGGTGGTAATAAATGCTGTGTAGAAAAAGAGTAACACAGTTGGAGAAGGAGACGGAATTGACCTGTAAAATAGGGAAGACCCGGGGCACGGAGACTAGAGGAAAGCGAGGACAGAGGTGGAAGCAGCCACTCATAGGAGGTCTTGTAGTGAGGATGATGGCTTTGACTCTAAGCAAGATGTGGGTGTGACAGATGGCAGGGAGACAGGAAGGAGGTCTTTGGATATTCATTCAGCAGACGTCTGGTGAATTACACTCCTTTTAGAAAGTGCATCTTTTTTTTTGCCTTCAAAGGATCCTTAACAGTCTGTGCAACATCCTCCAGGTCTTTTCAGGTGTACATAAAAATAGTAGCTATACTTATCACACGTGTTATGTTTCCTAAGTTATCTAGTCCTCAGAATGGTCCTGGGAGGGTAAACATTGTTACCACCCCTGTTCTATAGAAAAGGAAACAGACCCGGTTAGTTCTGTGTGTCCACACACAAACTTGACAAAAAGGAATCGCTCTATTCTGTGGTCTGTGGGCTGATGCAGGCACGTCGTTTTTTGATAATACATTGAGATCCACCAGATTTATTTTACTGTTTTCTCCCACTTCCTCTTTTTGGTTCATCTTTTCAGTCTTTTCAAAGTATGTATGCGTACGTATGTATTTCCCTTTTGTAAAAAGGGAGCAGGGGCACCTGGGTGGCTCGGCCGGTCAGACGTCCGACTTCAGCTCAGGTCATGATCTCACAGTTCGTGGGTTCGAGCCCCGTGTCGGGCTCTGTGCTGACAGCTCAGAGCCTGGAGCCTGCTTCGGATTCTGTGTCTCCCTCTCTCTTTGCCCCTCCCCCACTCATGCTCTGTCTCTCTCAAAAATAAATATTAAAAAAAGGGCGGGGAGAGCATACAGTAAACATTTGCTTCCACTTTGCTTGTTTTCACTTAACATACACTGGAATCCACTGTTTATCAACGCAGAGAGATTTTCCTCACTTCCTTATACAGTTTCCTCCTTTCTTTATACAGTTGCCTAGTATTTTATTATGTGAACTTATCATGGCTTTTCAGCCACTCTCCCTGTTGGAGAATCCTTGGGATGCTAACAGTCTTTTGCTGTTGGGAATAATGCTGTAATTGATCCTTATTTCATAGTTTTGCCAAGTGTGACTTTGGGACAGATGCGCAAGCCTTGCCTCCCCCCCCCCCC